TGTCTCCGCGCTGTTGTCGCCCTGTTGATGACGTCAGCGACACGGTTTAGTCGGGCGCGGTTTAGTCGGGCGCGGTTAGGGTTAGGGTTAGGGAAAGCAGTCTTCCAAGCTCTCATGATCGTCGAGGCACAGCAACATCCATAACTTTGAGAACCAATCATAAGACTCTTCTTTCTGTGTCAGATGGAAATTAACAGTTTTACTGATTTGCTGTGATTTCAGTCACAGTCCTAAGTCAAGGACTATCTGTAGTTTTGTTCTCTTTTTGTTTGGTTGTTTGGTTTAAAGAGCAGCCATTGTAATGTTGATGGGACTCAGGCACATGGGGTGGGGTCCTTCTTTCCATCTGCCAACACCTCATCTTTAATGTAAAACAACCACACACACAAAAGGAATCATTTAACTTAAAAACCTCGGTGTAGAGCAAAGCTTTGCAAAGCCCAACTCAAGTTTTGTTAAAAAAGAAATTCCATTGTGGGAAGGAGTTTGCTTATTGCTCTTATACATTATGACATTTTGAAGTGCCACATATTTATTGCACGTTGGCTCTGCCAAAAGGAGACATCATAGTTTAATGGAACACCCCTACGCCTTTGTACAATGAATAGTTCACAAAAACAACCTTCTCAATTTAACCAACCACAAAACAAGTTAAAGTGATCATATCTCTTTTTTTCTCATGTCCATTTTGTGAAATATCTCTGCCCTAAGCAGCTTGAACATTGAGTCAGCCATCTTGCTTCAGGAAACACTGCTGACTTTCAGATGCAAACAGTCACAGGTCCTGAGGCAATTTGAAAACGGACGAAGCTAATATTTTAAAATGGAACTCCCTGATTTAAAGACAATGACCAAGGAATCCTAATTTTAAGTTACTTAATTTTAAATGTCGTTATATTTATTATTAATAATAATACTTAATGCATTAAAATCAAATTTATTTGATTAGTAATATTAATTAATATCACTAATATTTAAATTGTTTACTTAAAAAGTTAACACGTGTAATTTGTATAATGCACTTATACTAGTGCTTGCTTTAAATCAAATCGGCATAAATCTACAACCGGTTGCAAGGAAAGGAAATGTACTAGTGACTCACCATTTCTTATCGACAATTACACTGCATGAGTTAAAAAGAATACTTTTCTTAGTCCTGTGACCTGAGATGCTTTCACTGGAAATGTAGGAACTTGGGAATTTTTTACATACAAATTTAAATGTTGTCCCATTCAAGTGGAACTTTCTGTGATCTCTTCTATAGTCATCACTACTCATTCCTGAACAGCATAGCTGATTGCCCTAGAAGTGGGGAACTGATGCAGCACATTTTCATTTCATCCATCCAAAGGAGATTATGGATTTTTCGCGAGCTGCTTGCTTTGCTTCTTATAAAAAGCATCACACTAAAGAGAGACTAAATTGACCCCTTAAGAGTTATTAAGAAAGAAAGTATGCAAGAAACTTGTTTTACTCAAACCCCCCTTAATGAAATAATAGAGTCTATTAGGCGGACTTTGGAACTAGGCAACTTAAGAGCAGAACGGTTCCACCACAAATGCGCGAACGACAAAAGTGCGCCTGACTAAACCGCGGTGACAAAACCGCGCCGACGAATGAGCGCTGAAGCGCGCCGACAACAGCACGCTGACAGAAGCGCGCTGTAACCTAACCCTAAACCTAACCCTAAACCTAACCCTAAACCTAACCCTAAACCTAACCCTAAACCTTACCTTAACTTAAATCGTCCTTCTGTCGGCGCACTGTTGTCGGCGCGCTTTTGACGTTCGCGCTTTTGTCGGGTCACGGAGCAGAACATCCAGGTGTTATTTATTGTCCAAAGGAATAAGAGCTACGAATTCTTATATAAAGAAATGCTCCCAATCCAAAATAGCAGTGCAACTTCATTAGATTCAAAGCTAGCATCCTTGCTGTCCTTGAAAAACCAATCTCTCCCTCTCCTTCCTTCTATGTCTCTCTATCTCTTCCATGTCTCTTGTATCATGCATTTTTAGATTATGATCCTAAAGGCCAGCCTTTCTTTTGTTCTTGATTTAAGTGGTTGGCTTTAGAACAGGAGTGAAGGAGGAAAGTAGTTCACAAAATAAAAATAAAAAAAACAGCAGAAATCAGTTTGGATAGACATTACCTAATGGATCTTTTTGCCATACTAATTTCATTTTAATCAATCCTGAACAAATGTTCAGTGTTAAGAGCTTTTGTAATATTTCAGAAACTGCTACAGGATGAGGTATATACTTAGGTGTTTATACATTACTTGAATATGATTAGGCAAACCCTACATTATTTACATGTAATCTTGAAGGATATGGATTATGACATTTTTTTAAAAAATGGAAAGCAGATAAACCCCAAAGATTCTTTGTGGCTCTTGCTGAATAGGCAGGCTGTATATTAAACAAAACATCATGCCTGTTTTTACTGCATCTAACAGCTATGATAGTCAACACAAGATCCTTTTCACAGTCAATTCACCACGCATTCTGGGAGACCTTGGGTCTACAATTATTTCATTTCCTCCCTTGCAAATGTAATTTCCACTTCGTTTCTTAGAATAAAAGATAAACAAAAAAGGTAGCAGGGGTAGCAGAATATACTGATTAACATTATCCATTCAAAGAGGTGGAAAACTACAGATGAACAATGCTGTAGTTCATCGGAAACAAAAATCAACTTGGATCAGAACTAAATTGCCTTTAATATGGTTCAAAAGTGGTTAAAATGCAACCATGTCAAATAAAGAAATTTAATTAGAAAGCTAAAAAAAAGTACAGGAAACTTTTTATCAGACAGTGCTGGTGATCAGGAAGGGAGATTTTCTTTTGACACCCAAATTTAGAAGCAAATAAAATAAAACCATAAAGGCAAGTGACAGAGGAAATAACTCCCTTTTCTTTTCTACAAATGATAAAAGCATTAGTACGGAATAAAGCAGTGCATGTAAATAGAAGTGAATTGAATTTCCACTTCATTTGTTGAGGTTTACCCCTTTGAACTATGAGATGCAAGCCTTGGAGAATGGGTGTTCCTTTTTCCACTGATAAAGCAGGAAATCAGAGGTTTAATTAACCATTATTATAACATTTGTCTCACCTATTTCTTTTTTTCTTTCAGTAATAAACTGCCTGACATCCTGGAAAAAGGACCAAATGAAAACCTGAGAAGAGTTTCTTAAAAGCTGTGAATTGTTATAAAACAAACTGACCCTCGACCGGATCTATCGGAAGTATGTATTTCTGAAGAGGGATTAACTCTTTGATGATAAATCAGCACTTTGACAGAAAATGTACAGTCAGGTAATACCTTGTCCAACCGTACTAAGGATTTATTCAGCTAAACAGATGGAGGCTTCAAAGTGTTGGATCTCAACAACTTCAACTTAGCTCAGCAGCCTGAATCCCACTGATTAAGAGTGGTTTCGACAGCTGTGCCTTAAGCTAAGAAAATATTCACCTTCTTGGCAAATGTATGCTATACTGCCACCAATGAGATACTATTGCTACTAAATGTCTAATTTCAATTGGAGTCCTTGTATTATTTGGGTTAAGCAACTAACATGACTGAAGATCACTCCTGGTAGCTGAAATTACAGTTGTTCTTGCAAAGTTCTGTCTTTCTTAATGTCAAAAATGAGGACTGCAACTCAAAGCTGAAAAGCTGGCACAAATAAAAGATTTGATGATAGCTTGTGGTGATTTCAATGTCCCATTTTTGGGGTTGGAGACAGTTCAGGAATTCATGGCTGCCATGATGACCATCGCCATGGGTGAGATCATTACCAACCCAAACCAGATATCTGGCATACTGGATTTGATCTTCATATTGTGGGATATAAGATATGGTCTGATTCTGAGGAATTTTTCTCAGTGCCTTATTGTGGAACGTTGTAAAAATGGATTAACGGGAGCTACCAGCCTCCAAGGCAGGGTGAAATCCAGCAGGTTTTGACAGGTTCTGGAGATTTTGAGCAGTTTGGAGAACCGGTAGTGGAAATTTTGAGTAATTCGGAGAACCAGGAAATGCCACCTCTGGCTGGTCCCAAAGTGGAGTGGGAATGGGGATTTTGCAGTATCCTTCCCTGGAGTGGGGTGGAAATGGAGATTTTGCAGTATCATTCCCCTGGAATGGGGTGGGAATGGAGTATCATTCCCCTGCCATGCCCACCAAGCCTCACCATGCCCATCAAGCCCACAGAACCAGTAGTAAAAAAAGTTGAATTTCACCACTGCTCCAAGGTAACTGCTGCTGGAAGAGTAGATAAAATTAGTGACCAGGAGAACATTTCTTCACCTTTGACTGGTATATCACTTGCAGCCTTACCTGGAATAGAATGCTGTGAGGATGTTCACTCAAGTTCTCATTATATTACTGTAATTCATTGTACATGGGACTGGTCTTGAAGATTCGTTCTCCGAGCTTGTGGGTTGGTTTCCGAATGTTTCGTTACCAGGCTAGGTAAAATCTTCAGTGGAATTTCGGGGATGTCAGTGTCAGTGTTATTTTGTTTCTAAGGGCTTCAAGTGAGGATATTACCCAGCCTGGTAACGAAACATTCAGAAACCAACCCGCAAGCTCGGGAAACGAACCTTCACCCCCACAAATAAAATAGTTCATAAACTCTGAAGTATGTAGCATTTGGAGACATCAATCAAAATTATTACTTACTGAGTGACAACTGCAGAACTTGTGCTTTTGACCATTTTATGAGACTGTTCATCCAACCCTGAAGATTTTGAATTGAAGTTTGCTGCTAAATATTTTTTAGTCAATTCTGATTCTGTTCCAATGGAAGCCAAAACTGGCATAGATTTAGATTCAGATGTAGCCAAAGTTCCAGTTCGATCTGAAATGTATAAGAATCCAGCATTTATGTTACGTGTTGTTCACATAGCTCAAATCTCTAAATATTTTTAAATAATGTTTATACTGGGCATAAAACTGTGGATCATTTATATCATTTCTAGTGTTCAGATCTCCTGCTAATATATTCCCAGCTGGGACTGGGAGTTTAGCCTTGGAAATAAGGTAATTAATTCCACTATATAATTCACTATTTTTGCCAAGTGTCTAGATACACTATATAAGTACTGTGGACAAAGGAATATGCTTCATGAGCCGAGGTGGCAAGAGCCGAGGTGGCGCAGTGGTTAAATGCAGCACTGCAGGCTACTTCAGCTGACTGCAGTTCTGCAGTTTGGCTGTTCAAATCTCACCGGCTCANCAACTCTCAGAATTCTCCAGCCAGCTCTGCTGGCTGGAGAATTCTGGGACTTGAAGTCCACAAGTCTTAAAGTTGCCAAGTTTGGGAACCACTGTATTAAGACAACTTAATTACCAGATCTGATAGATACCTGGAGTATTTCTCCTTGATCTCTTTAGAGATTTCCACAAAGTAAGAACGCATAGTGCTTATTTCAATTCAACACTGCAACAATTTTTCAATCCTTTATGTGAATCCAGTGCACTGTAGGGCAGAATCTGGTGGAATTTCAACACTCTGGTTTAGTTACCCTTTATGATTCTATCTTGCACCGATACACAGAGACACCCACTCTTTCCCAAAGGAATCAAGTTGGCAAGGTACTCATTCAGTCTTTCTTTTAAAACCCCAAACATTTCCAGCTTCATGGTGACACCTCTACCTTTTTTTGAACAAGTCTTACCTCTTGTCCTTTCTATTGGCAGCCAATACTTTATTACCGTAGGAATAATAAAGAAGGGTGTTTATCTTTTTGGAATAACAGCATGTTACTATTTAATCCCATGCTCCAACATAGTAATCCTATCACTTTTATTGGATTTAAGTCTGCATAAGGGCAAAAGACTGCCATTAAATCTGACTAGTCCTTGCATTAGCTTTTGCTATACATTGCATATTTTAATCCAAATTGGAATTAATTGCAAAAGCCCTTTATATTCTATGGAAAAGCCCTATACATTCTATGTTTCTACATGTTTTAGTAAATGCACACAGATAGGCCACAGTATACGATCACAATTGGGACGGAAATTTGCATCACTTTTCCAATCCAGTCCGCAACATCATGTGACTTCCTTGCTTAGCAACAGCAATCCTGGAAGTCCCAGTTACTATCAAAATTCCCAATTCATGGGCAGGAAGTGGGAGGAGCCCCACATAAGGAACGTGGGAACACTATTGGGCATGGGGGAGGCCCCAGAAGGCCTGGGACAGTATGTGTGCATGTTGGAGAGGATTGCAGTCTGGACCAACCTAGGGAGGCTGGGGAAAGCATACCCTTGACTCAGGGATCACTTGGTATGCTGAAAGTCTGTAAAGATTCTCAGTCATCCAGGTCATGGTTGTCCCAAATGGGGCTTTTTTCAGGAAGCAACTGGACTTCCTTGTTTTTTTTTTTGAAGACATTTTGCTTCTCATCCAAGAAGCTTCTTCAGCTCTGGCAGGATAGTGAATATAAATCCTTCCATTCCCCACTATCCTGTCAGAGCTGAAGAAGCTTCTTGGATGAGAAACGAAAGGTCTTCAAATGAAAAAAACAAAAAAGTCCAACTGCCTCCTGGAAAAAAAGCATGGTATGCTGGGGTTTTAGCACTGCAAGAACTGCAACTATCCAAGCCTGATCCAGCAATACAGTGGAAAACTACGTTCTGGGACGTGACCCGTCAAAACCGCGCTCGACTAAACCGCGTCGCTGACGTCATCAACAGGGTGACAACAGCCAGCGTGGAGAAAGAAGGGCGCTTTAAATAGCGCTTTGAAAGCAAGCCGATTCAACTTAAGGTAAGGGTTAGGTTTAGGGTTAGGTTAAGGGTTAGGGTTAGGGTTAGGGTTAGGGTTAGGGTTAGGGTTAGGGTTAGGGTTAGGGTTAGGGTTAGGGTTAGATTCAACCATCAAAATAGAAACACCTATTA